CCCCAAAACCCCAAAACCCCAAAACCCCAAAACCCCGCAGACCTGCACTATTGTAGAAATAACGTTATTTTAATATAAATGAGTATCAAACCTAGCACAAAGTCTGTTTATTTGGTTGATATAAATGTTCTCTTACTTATTACTTCTATCAACCCTTTTTCTAAAGTCAAACTAGTATCATAAATCAGACAAGCCGGAGTAGAATTAATATATTCTAGCTAAAGGAATAACTACTAATTAAGAACAGACTGACATTTAGAGTAAAAGTATTGAAACAAAGGGTATTACAAACAATAAATATGACTAAATGGGTTGGAGGGAATGGTAAGGGTGGTAAAGTAATTATATTTGATTTGGTATCTGTCAGAACTTTAATCTTTTTGGGATATTGAGAGTGTGGGGAAAGTCTTAAGGGTTTCTTTGGCTCCTTCTTTTGGCTTTAACTATCTTTCTGTGAACAACACCTATATATCTTTGACCTCTTTTATGCCTACCAGTGAAGACTAAAGATTAAGGAGCAGTTTCTTACCTCTGAATTTGTTTACTTTCAGTAGTTGCTGAAGTTGATTCTTTGTCTGAGGCTTTAGGGAAGACAAGATCTGGTGCAAATCTGCTCACAGATTAGGTTGTATTGACCTTGAAATTCTAGTCAAAGAAATTTTAATTGTTGAAGATGGACTAGGCTGCAATATTTTGTGTATAAATTCTAGATAGTTACTCTCGAAAAATACCTTTAAAGTAAGCAAAATCATCAATAGATGCAAGCAATGGGCTCTTGTGCATTTTTATAATGCAGATATATATTCATGTTCTTCCTCATAGAAGTCAGGAAGATATTCATCCGAGTCTGAGGAAGACTCTGTTGGGTTAGATACAATTCTATTCGGTTAGCTGAGCCTTACGAGTAATCTTCATCATTATCCTGGAAATTGTCGATATAATCTTCTTCTTCGTTTTCTGCTTCTGCTGCTTTGGCATTTTCATATTTTAATTTTAAAATCAAAGTATAGATCAGATTTTCAATTACAGTTTTGTTGAAGACCGGCACTGTCTGAGGTGATTCATAAGATTCCAAGTAATTGATCAACCCCATTATCATTATTTTATGCTCGGTTGGGTATCTGATACTCTTAGTAGCAGACATTATCATTGAGTAAATTTTAAATTCAAGATCTAGTTCTTTTATTCAACTGACAGTTTGATCGAGAGATGTCCAAAATAGAGCTAGAAAACATATTGCAACAGGCCTTGGAAACTTCTCTTCTGAGTTGACATTCTCATAAGCTTCCAATACTTCACAGATTATTATCTTAATGTAAGAATTTAGCTTTGAGGAGTTATTCATCGACAGAATAAGTATCTGAAAATATACACATCCACTAATGAAGTGCATTTTACTGTTAGCATTTTGTATTTTGAGCTCGTTAAGACCAATTTTGATGAAAGATTCTAGGATAGTGTTATACTTGTCTTGATCAAATATTTCAATGTCTGGCTGGCAGAAATACTGCATAGTGTCAATTATTTCTGGTGTGATGCAACCAATACCTTCATAAACAGACTCTAGGCTATTTAGTGAATCTAAAATCCAGATGTTGCTTGATAATGAGTTTTCTTTATGATGATCTAAATCAAGAGGGTCTCGTAAGTCACTAATATTCTTGACCATTAATGATCAGATTAGTAGTAATTGCTCTGAAACAAACTCTTTCTGGCTTTGACACTCCTCAAGAATATGGGAATAAAATTCAGGTACAATTTCTTTGATCTTATTAGTTACTTCACCAATCTTATCATTTTTGAGTAAATTTGCAATCACTTGGAAAAGTTTGAGAGTTTGAAGAGAAGGAGTATCGCAAGGAGCATTCTTAAGTTCTCTAACAATGTCTTGGAATATATTCTCTCAAAGTTGATCTGAGTATATTTTATACCAGATCCCTGATCTGATTGTTTGATTGATAAAGTCTTCGACATATGCATTTTCTATATTTCAGATAAGTATTTTAAAAACTCCGGTGATCTTTGATAGGAAATTTTCCTGGATATATATTTTATGTTTCTCTTCATATTTTTCGTAGTACCCAATTAGCATAGTAAGAATCTCAATTGCAGTATTAATAAATTGACTAGATTGATTATAAACAATCTCTTCACATAATGAGATCAAGTCACTGAATCATCCTTCATTTTCAAGAAACAATTTCATTTTAGATTTTAGTAGGTTTAATATCCGATACTTTAACACAAACTCCGCATTCTTATAAACCTCCATCAACTTCCCATAACTCTCCTTCAACAAAGTCCTTCAATAAGAGTCTGGAAAGAGCTCTACCACATGGATCGCCGCCTCAAGCACCTGTGCTACCTCAAACCTCGCTAAAACCCCATCTTGCTCCACTAACACCTTAGCAACCCCCTCATTCTCCACACACACCTTCACAAACCCCTCTCAAAACTCATACATCTTCCCTACCAGCCTCCTATACTCCTCATTCTCACTCTCCAAAAGTCACTTCACCAACTTCGTGGCCGAAGACTTCACCGTATCATAGTACGTAATCCCTCCTAAATTCAACAAGTCAAATCTATACGGGTCTTCTTCTGCTTCTGAATTCTGTGTGATGAAGAAGGACACAAGCGCTGTGGAGAGTTGGTCTTGGAGAAGACTGAATGTGTGGGTCAGATCGAGGGTGAAGTAGGTGAAGATTTGGGTGAGGGTTTTTAGGAGAGTGCAGATTGTTGGCCGGTGGTGGGAGGGGGAGAGGAGGGGGAAGTCGGTTAGAGTGTGGTGGATGAGGAAGAGGAGGTGGGATGTGAGAGGGGAGGGCAGGGGGTGGATGGGGTAGGTGGACAGGAGTTCAACGCAGGTTTTGAGGGTTTTACTGATGAGCGGTTTGAAAGTGAGGTATTGGGATTCAGGGTCGTGGGAAGTGGAGAAACAAGCTTGAATGATGAAGTTAGGGGTTGATTTGAGTAGGTCTGTAGAGCTGATGTTTAGAAGGGTCAGTATGCGTAAAATTATACAATTTGATCCCAGATCGGATTCTTTTGTTTCCTGGTTAGAATCATCAAAACTTATTAGAGTCTCTTTTCGCATACTTCTATCACTCCCTCTTGTTTGTTATTATTTTGTTTTAATCCTCCGACTACAGCTTCTAACAATATCAGAATTTTATTACAACTTGAGTACTCTTTCTTGGTCATTATCTCATCTAAGAAATTGAAGATTTCTGACAAATTAGAAGATTGATTTTGATTACTTCTACCAGCTGAACCTTGGGTTTCTTTATAGTTGTTAATAAGGAAAATAATGATTTCAGTGTACTTTATGAACAAGGGTTCCACTCATCGGAAGTCAAATGATGTCTGAAGAAGCAAAGTCATCAGATCGTGATAATCACCAGGTTCTAATTTATTCAGAGAATTATTGACTGCTCTATTAAGATTAATAACTGCAGACATCTTCATGGTTCAATCAAGAGTTTCATCTATCGTAGCATACAAGAGAGATTTTCAGTACAAATTTAGGTCAGATTCCATTCTTTTCAGGTGAGCTTCAGCCTCAGATCTTTTGGAATGATCTGGACTAGTGTAGGTACTGAATAGTGCTGACTTGATGTTTTGATAATCCTGTAAGAAATTATTATCTTTTGAGTCATTCAGATACTTAGTAATATCCATTAATTTAGTAATTCTTACTTCTTCGTTTTGTATAAAGTCATCTCTTTGGATTTTCTGTTGGAATTCCTTTTCTATCGAAGGGCCAAAATCTTGCATGAAAGGATTATTCTGGTCCATTTCTAAAATACAGTAAAACATGATTAGTTATTTCCAGATACAAAAGAGCTTTTTAGCTTACCTGGCTGGTTAGTTTCGTCAATATCAATGACTTCACCGGTTGCTTTTAAAAACTCCATTTTCTAATTTATAGAATTATATAACTTGACACAATAATATCGCATTGGCTTGGGGTTTTGGGGTTTTGGGGTTTTGGGGTTTTGGGG